AGTCCTCAGTGCCAGTGGGTAGTGGTGGCCTTGGCACTGCTGGGGCAACTCGATGATCTTGAAGCTCTTTCCCAACCTGGCTGTTTCTGTGTGTGGAGCCGAACCTGCTGCCTGGGGAGCAGAGAGGGGACCCAGCTCAGGGTTCATCCCATGCTGCCAAACCAAACCTCTGCTTCCCCTCCAGGTCCTGGTTGTGGAGACAAGCAACACCTCAGCTCCAAACCATGAGCTGCCTTTGCCTCGGGGGATGCTGGAGCTGAGAGCCCCAACCCCAAGGGAAGGAAGATGCTGCAGACCAGCAACTACAGCCTGGTGCTGTTCCTGCAGTTCCTCCTGCTCTTCTACGACCTCTTTGTCAACTCCTTCTCGGAGCTGCTCCGCACGGCCCCTGCTGTCCAGCTCGTCCTCTTCATGTGAGTGCCAGCAGGGGGCTGTGGCCACCGTGGTGCCACAGGAGGGTTGGGATCTCACCACCTTTCTCTCCTCCTGCAGCATCCAGGACATTGCTATTCTCTTCAATGTCATCATCATCTTCCTTATGTTCTTCAACACCTTCGTCTTCCAGGCTGGGCTGGTCAACCTCCTCTTCCACAAGTTCAAGGGGACCATCCTGTTGTCTGCAGCCTACCTGGGGCTCAGCATCTCCTTCCACGTCTGGGTTATGGTAGGTTGAGGGTGCTGGTTCCTCCTGAGGGTGACAAGCAGTGCTCTCCTTGCCCTGCTGGCCACAGCCCTCTGCCCCCTTCACTCCCTCTCTCATGAGAGGAAGACCATAAGCTCCCACAACAGGGGCACTTTGGTGTCCCCCCCATCGGCATCAGGCTGGAAGGAGGGAGCTGCCCCATCCCGGCCACTTTCCTAAGGGCAACAACCTGCTGGAAAATCCTCTTTCCTCCAGGGAAAGCAGCTCCAGCTCCATGCTGGCACAGGGTAATCCCTGCTGAGGTGTGAGACAGCAGCTCCTGGTTCACCTGGGATTAATCCCCAGCAAACACCAGTGCTCAGAGCCTGGGCACAGCCACTTCCCTGCTGGCACTGAGCAGCCCTGAGGGCTCTCAGGGGGTCCTGGCTCTGTGGAGGCAGCATCTTCCCCTTTTCACCCCCAAATCAACTCCCTCTTATCCCCAGGGGCTGAAGGAGCAGACCCAAGACCCTGCCCAGCCCCTTGGCGCCCTCCTCCATGAGGTCTCATCCTGCCTCCATCCTCAGGGTGAGGGTCCCTCCTCACCCCACTGCCCTGGGGGGCTGGAGCAGCCACGCTGGTGCTGCCCACACCCCCGAGCCAGGGGATTGACAAGGGATTTGTGGGGATCTGAAGCAGGAATAGGTCCTGGCTCACTGGCTAAATCCCCTGAGCTGCTTAACCTTTGGGGTGGGGGTGCCCCCAAACTGATGGAGCTGCTGTGAGGGCTGGAGCAGCTCTGCTCTGGAGCCAGGCTGAGAGAGCTGGGCTGGGGCAGCTGGAGAAGAGAAGGCTCCTCAAGGGGACACCTTAGAGCAGCTCCAGTGCCTAAAGGGGCTCCAGGAGACCTGGAGAGGGGCTTTGGACAAGGGATGGAGGGACAGGACAAGGGCAATGGCTTGAACCTGCCAGAGGGGAGATTGAGATGAGCTCTGAGGCAGAAGCTCTTCCCTGGGAGGGTGCTGAGGCGCTGGCACAGGGTGCCCAGAGAAGCTGTGGCTGCCCCATCCCTGGCAGTGTTCAAGGCCAGGTTGGACACAGGGGCTTGGAGCAACCTGCTCTAGTGGAAGGTGTCCCTGCCCGGGGCAGGGGTTGGAGCCGGAGGAGCTTTAAGCTCCCTTCATCCCAAACCATTCCCTAACTCCTGTCCCTGTGCTCAGAACCTGCGCTGGCGCGACTCCAGCCGCTTCGTGTGGACCGAAGGCCTGCAGACCCTCTTTGTGTTCCAGCGCCTGGGTAAGGGCTGATGGTCACAGGTCCTGCTGCTCTTTTGGGGTGCCTCTGGGGGTGCAGGTGGGTGCCCGCCCTCACCCCTCCCTCCCTGCCTCCCGCAGCGGCCGTGCTCTACTGTTACTTCTACAAGAGGACCGCAGTGCATCTGGGGGACCCCCTCTTCTACCAGGACTCGCTGTGGCTGCGCAAGGAGTTTGAGCAGTTCCGTGGCTGATGGTCCCCCCCCAGCTCTTCAGCACCTCATGGCCCCGTTGTGGACAGCTCCACCTCAGCCACCTTCTCCTCTTCCTCACCGGTACCAGCACCTCAGGTGGATGCTGGGAGCTGGTGGGAAGCTAATGCTGCATCCCCATGTACATCAGGAAGACGGCTCCACAGCCCTTGTTGGGACTCGAGTGGTTTTGTAATCAGTAAAGAAATAAATTAGCTGTGTTTTCCAATGCTGACCCCCCCTCCCGGGCTCTTCCCTCCCTCCCACT